CCATTGTATTCCAACTTGCGTACAGATCGACTTATGAATGTACTAAAAAGTGAGTCCTTCATAACCCAGGGACTGTCTATATTGCAGAACAACTCCTACATATCAGTTTTCAAGTGACTTTGTGATATTGCACGATTTATGGTCTACCCAGATGAGAGATGGATACCAGTATTTAGTGCCAATCCAATCAATATACCAACCATTTGCATGTTAATCAACTGATGCACTGATACAAGTATTACAATAAAACTGTAGACCAAGAGTATGCACAATCACTATATGACAAGGAGTAAAGGCTCTTATTATAGATCCTCTTTTGCCCTCCCTTCTAAATTTTGTTTTTTTACCATGCTTACAAACAAACCATCCCTAGATAACTTTAGTTTAAAATGGGAAGGATATTTTCCAATCTAGGCAAAATCAAATCAACTTTATCTGTAGTTTTATGTTTACTGGATAGGAGTGGCAATGTCTGAACCATTAATGAATTGAATGGTTCTCAGAATTTGAGCTCCTGATATGGGGATTCTTCTGTCAGAGATTGAGAAATTGCAGAAGTCTCCCTTACAATCTTCTATCTATAGAACATGTCTATATCAATAACAGACTTAACAACCCTAACTGGTGTACAACTTGATCATCACACACTCATTTTCTGTATGGGATACTGAGTTTCATCACCTATGTAATTTGTTTGGTTATTGTACCTTATGTGTTCCAAAGTATTTCCTGACTAACCACAGTTCCAATTGTCCCTTCAGCAAATTAATTACTAAATTGTTCCTTTTCAAATCACTTTTTGCCATCTACCATCCGGAGTCACACAATGCAGCAAGAGCGGAATTATTGACTGATCAAAGAAATCAAATTCTATCAATTAGTGAACAACAAAACTGGAAATGACTCAAGGAAAATCCTGGAGATGTTGAGCTTTGGGAACTATGAGCCGAATCTTAGGTTTTTTTATTGGCTAACTCAGGTCAAGTTTGGTGGAATAAAACTCACTGTGAGGCTAGATTAAAATCTAATATAGATCAGTTACCTCACAACTTAAGAAATGAATTATTGTGAGGTTGGATGTGTTTTCTCACCGTATCTGGCCAAACTCACCACTTTAATGTCAGTGCTGGCCCAGTGGCGAGTGTCATGTTGTATCTCTGTCCCACCTTACCACAATTCATTCCTGGAAGAGCTCGCCACTCACTGGACATCTGCCATAATAGAAGCATTGTGTGTGGCCACATCACCTTCAAAGACCACGGCGGAGGAGTGCTGGCATCTGGCATTTACCCTGCTTGTGATTGGTGACTGGATGGAGATGGATAATAAGGGTAAGTTGGCATAGAGGTATGTGGACAGAGGTCTGGAGGTCCTGATTGATGGGCTAGTGCACGGGGATAATGGCTGATCTCAGAAGTTAGATAGAGGAAGCCCATCACCATAATATGTCTGAGATAGTAGGAACTGCAGATGCTGGAGAATCCGAGACAACAAGGTGCAGGGCTGGATGAACACAGCAGGCCAAGCAGCA